TAAATATAAATATACAACTATAATGCTTTTAATATTAAATATATTTCCCTTAAAAAAATATTTTTAAAAATATTTTTAAAAATTTATTCAAATGCCAAATAAAATTAAAATAAACTTTTCTATCTTAGTAGGATGCTACTACCTTTACTGTTTAACTATATCCACCAGCTTTTAGCATTGTAACTCCGTTCCAAATTGGTATCCATTTACCAACTTTGTTCCTGTCTTAGTCATATTCACCGAACCATCTTAGATATTAGATCTACTCAATATTCTAAAATGAAGAAGGATTCATTTAATAGTTTTGAAAATATTCTGTATCAAATTTAAACAATAAAAATACTTTCTCAAAATTTCATCTTCTATCAATATATAATCAGGTTGTCTTTGTTCAAGGTAACCTAAACTTTAACCTTTTAGATTAAATCTTTGTTTGAATCAAAACTTTTAACTTCCAAATCTCTTCTATTTGATTAATCAAAAAATAATCTTGCCCTTTTAGTAAGGAATACATATTAAAAAAATATTATTTAATTTTGATGTCTGTATTTATTATAAAATGATAATTTATATTATATTCATTTGATTTGGAATTTAATCTGGAGTTTTAAGTATAATTACAAAGTAAACCTTATAAAGAGTAAAGCATAACTCCAATAAGATGTGAAATTAAGCGTTTAATGGTTGTCTAATTAGTATCCTTCTTTTATAATCAGAATTATTTTATAGTAAGTTTATTATATTTTTATAATGTATTTTTAATAGAAAATTAAAGTTGGTAAAAGCCTTAAGCATATACATTTGATACACAAAAGCAGTATATCATCTTGTAAATTTATTATTAGGAAAGCCCCATACATAGCTAGATAAATAAGATAGATCCATACATTTGGATTCATCTTAAAATATAGCCACAAAAGGGATATAGCTCAAAATACAAGAAAATCTATTCTCTGTTTCTTTTTAATAAACTTCTTTAAATTAGGAGAATTTCGGCTCTTTCCTTTAATCTATTTTTTAGATTATTTTAAACACATTAATTTTTTTAATGTTATCTTTTCCAAATTTCTAAAATCATTAATTGTTATGTATTTTCTGATATCACCAATTTATTGTTTGATTTTATTCTAACTTAAATTCCCTTAAATAATTTTGAGATTGATATTGAGAATTAATTTAAACAACTTCAATTTTAGATCTTTTGGTAATGCCATTTCATCTTCAAAATGCATAGTTTATTTTTAAAAGTTTGAGGTAATAATTTTACTATCATAAAGTGTGTGATTAGCATTTTTATACTATAAGATCCGAAGAACTAATAGAATAGTTTTTCTAATATTGTAAAAAGTTAAAACTTGATTTATATTATTGTGAAAATTTGCTTCAAAAATAAGCGTTAGTTAAATAACCATAGATGCAAAGTCTATAATTTTATTAGATTCTAAAAAGCAGAATTAAAGTATAGGAAAAATAAAAAATATGGGATGTATTCCTTCTAAATCCTAATACCTTATACATCTAAAGGAATAGAGAAGCAGGAACTTACAATTTAGATTATTTCTTCAATTATAAGTGTTGGATCGTTTTATTGCTTAATTTTTCTCTAAAGAATAAGTTTTAAGGTACATAATCTTCATTGCTCTTCTTAAAAATTAAGTGTTAGAGAATATTAAGAATTGTTTATAGACTGTCTAAATATTATCTAAAAAGGTCAGTAATGTAACTGTAAGGCTATACTTGCAAAAAATATGAATTAGAATATGGTGTTGATATCTCAATGAATTATCAAAAAAAATGAATATCTAGTTAATCCAACCAATTAAATTAGAGTGAAGTGTTGAATAGTTTATGGTTTTCGCCTTATAAAGTTTGTTTTAAGATGTAATCATGAATTTAAGGTTGGTTAAAACATAATATTAACCCCTACATTTTATGTTTATCATACATGGATAAAAGCTCAGCTTTTTTAAATGCAAATAATCGAAAGGGACACAATCAAATTTTTATATTTTGGTCATTGGAACCCCATATATCCAAATTATTCCACTATACATTTACAGGAGCTCATTTCATTCTCGGTTGAATCAAACTATTATTTTCTTTAAGAATTCGATGTCTTATATATCACTTTTTTCAGGCGTAAATTTGTTTTATTTTTTGTTTCTTTATCTAAACATCATAGATGCAAAAGGTCCCTTTAATTATTCTTAGAGGCTACATAGACCAAAGAAATTAATACTTGAGGATGAAGGATATAATAACATCAATTATGCTTATTAGAGTTACTATTTTTTGAAAAGAAATTTCTTTTTCTTTAAAATGTTCTTTCTCAAGCATAAGTTAAAGTTGGATATGAAAAATATCAGATATTTAAAAACGAAAATTTAAAGTGAAGGAATAACAAAAAAAAATTAGTATTTATTATAAATTATCAAAAAAGAAGGAATCTAAATAGTATAACTCCAATTTTAACTTAAATTTTATCAATTTTTGTTATCAATCATTCTTTAATGAAAGAAATTTATAATTTATTTCAAATTAACTTTGACAATTTCTTTTAAGAAATAGTAATTTTTTAGTTTTATCATTTATGTGATTAAATCAAGTTCAAAAGCTGAATATTATGGAAATATTTGATTTAAAATTTTAGCACCACAAAATCGAAGAATGAATTGATGTCTTAATCTTAAATTTTGATATTGTGTGAATAAAAATTTGATTCTCTAATTTTAGATAAAGTTTAAGGTAAAAATAATTATTTCACTTTGATTCTAAGGTTGATGGAGCAGAAATTTGATTTGGCTTTTTTGTTGAGAGAATAAAAAAAAAAATTTAATAGAATTGAAGAATAAGCATCAATTTTACACAAATAAATATCAAATTAAAATATTGACAATTGAAATATAAAATAAATTATTTAAAGTTGCTACAAGTTTAATATCTTTTGTAGACAACGTTAAAAAATTAACCTTTTAATAAGAA